AAAGGCCGCAGACAGCCAGAACGGGTCGTCAGAGAGCTTGGAAGCCAGAACTGAGCCGAAACCGAAAAGCCGAAACCGAACGGCGGCTGTGTGGAGCGAACGACCATTCCCAGCCTTCCCAGCGCTGCAGCTGTCCAAGCTGCGCGGCACGAACCACGAAAAGCGTCGTGAGCAAGCCTGACGTCGACCATCGGCCACGGCGACCCAAAGCGAGGAGACGTGTCATGTCTCTTCGTTTGAAGTCTTAGACCCATAAACTGTGTCAAGACAAGGAGCCCATAGAGTTTTTCTGTCCCAAGCGCAGCTTACGCCAGAGCTTAGTCAGAAGCGCTGTACCCGCGGCCAGGCGAGCGCAATCGCCGCAAACCATGGCCGGATCAGAGCGCGCTCTGCGCGCGCGGAAACCGCGCTTTCAGCGAGGGCGTCACCGTCGAGATGGCACGCTTTCCCGCGAAGTGAAGCAAAAAATGGAACTGTTTAGGTCGTTCCAAACTGCTAAATGTCCACTTTGCCATCGAACAAATGTGGGGGGGGGCTAAAACTGCTTTGTAGGAACTGTTCCCCCCCAGAACCACAAACCACTCTCCCCACTCTCCCGCCTAGATCCAAGAGCACGTGAGACACATGTCTTCAGACACAGATAGCACGAGACATGCAAAGCCTTCTTCGACATTGAAGCAAAACGGCAAAAGAAAAAAGAATAAGTATAACATCAAGAACGTGAAGGGTTTTGGAACAAAAGAAGAAGTCTCAGAAGTACAAAATAACGAAGCAGAACTCCGCCTTAGTGGTGGGGTTCAGATCTGTGCTCTTCGACCACTTGGGCTTCTTCAGGACGGGTGGAGGAGTGCTCTTCCTCGGCCGCAAAAACCATGAAACACATCGTCTCGGTCAAACGCGGCGAAGAAAATGGTTGCACACATCGTGCACTCCATTCAAAAGTCTCAGTCAAAGCAGCTGCACAATCTCCATGAAGGAAGGCTTTAAAGATGCGCCTGGCACAGATAGTCACCAGGTAGTCTCAGTTTCCACTCGGTGCGAAGGGACAGACCGGCCTCCCACCAGAAAGCCATCGATGTTGGGCTTCTTGATGAGTTCAGCACCTGAACACAACCGCACGCGACGCGAACGCGAGTCCGTCGCGAGTCCGGACTCGGACTCGGACTCGGACTGAGAACACGACGAGCACCGGAAAAAAGACTGTCTGAGCTGTGGCATCCGGGCAGTTGTCCAGGCTGACGCTGCCACCATACTGGATTCGCACCTGCACGCAAAAAAAGGAAAAAGGCTCCCCTTTCGGACGCGAACCGAACCGTTGAACGGAGCTTCGGCATCGACACAACGTCGTGCTCCGCCTTCTCAGCCACCTCTTCGCTCACAGCCTTCGCCATGTACGCGCGGATGGCCGCATGCGTCTCCTCCGCCTCGATGCGTGCGCGATGGGCGTTCGTCAGGGGTTTTGGAGGCACACAGAAATGGATAGAAAATGGTCAGTCAGGGCACACACGGAGGACGTGTGCACACCATGATCACCGCATACATCCGCTCTACATGAGCGGCGCATACACACACGGAACGGCGCACCTGATCGGGAGTGGCGGTCTTTCCCGTGCCGATGGCCCAAACGGGCTCGTAGGCAATGACGATCTTGCTCCAGTCCTGGACGTGGATCGGACGAGTGATGTCCGGTGGACGGGTCGGATGCTAACCGTCTGTTCGCGCGGGTGCTGAGACTAGACAGCTAGTATGTAAGGGCATTTCTCGGAGGAAAGCGTTTGCGCAAAGCTCATCTGGTTTCTGTGATGCTCAGCTCATGAGCTTGAAACACCCAGTGGATCCAAACAAAAGTGACTCCAACCTTGGTTCCTAGCTTCAGATGCTTCAGAGTGGATCCACTTGAGTCGCACGAGTCGCACAAGTCGGCCTGTCCCCTGTTCCGCTCCGCCTCCTCCGCCTCTGCCGCCAATCCCTTCCAATCCCTTCCTTCGCTCCTCTGCTTTCACCTTGTCGATGACGGGCTTCAGCATCCTCTCATTCACCTCGTTGGTCTTGCCGGCCTCGAGAAGCGAGCGCCAGGCGCCTCGAAAGGCCGGGCCTCGATGAACCAAAAGACCAAACCGGTGGCCGGTATCAAGTAGACTCTTCCAGCTTCAAAGTGACCTTTTTGGAGTGTATAAGTGACCTTAAACAGGGATATCAAGTACGGTCACTTTGAAGAACCAGGTTAGAAGTCTTGATGCTTTATTGTTTACCCCGGCCTTTCCATGTCCACTGGGGAAGGTCATTTCAACATCGTTCCACGCCACGCCGCGGCGCGTCCTCCGTCGGATCGCCCGGGCGAACAGCTGTCCGAACACTCGCCTCACGCTCCTCCAGGAGCTCACCAATGGCCAGGACGACCTCCAGGAGATCCGAGAACCGGTTGTTTTCTTCTTTTTTTTTTCAAAGGAAGGAAGGAAGGACGCATTCTTCTGGTCGCGTCCTTGAAGAAAAGAAAGGCTCAATTAACGCTTCATCCCCTTTTTCCCCGCCTTCCAATCTAAAATGTCCCATTTCCCATCCATCTCCCCACACGGTGGACCACGCACCTTCAGTCCGGCCGCCAAGGCTTGCGACACCTTCTCGGCCACGTCCTCGAAGCTCCACCGATCGCAGACGAAGGGGCACATGAACGGTCTCACACCCAACGGCGGTCTTCACTCCTTTGAAGCCCTTGGGCTCCAAAAAACACAAAAACACAGCGCACGCCCTGAAGGTGAACAGGGTGCTGCTGCTCCTCGTCGGTCTCGCCGTACTTGGAGCGGCGCTCGGAGTGGCCCAGCAGGGTCCACCTCGGTGGGATCGGAGCGAACGGGTCGTGGAAGAAGCAAATGTGGCATACTTGGGCCATAGCGATATCGCTAAGAGCTGCTACTTATGTCCAGCTACTGTTGCAACTAGGCAGACTTCGGACAAGCACAGCCAGCTTCAAAGTGACCTTTTTGGAGTGCCTAAGTGAGCTTTTGCAGGCCCAAGTGACCTCAAACCGGGATATCAAGTACGGTCACTTTGAAGAACCAGGAGGATGGCCAGGATGGCATGTAGTAAACAAGGTGTCTCCGACCAACTTGGAGCGAACGAAGAGTGTTTGATTTCTTTCGGATTGAAGGACTGGATGTAAATATGATGCCTTTTATATAGAGAATGCAAAGGATGGGCAGCACGTCATTCAGACCTTGTGCAAAGCTATTGGACCTTTCTCAAAAGACTTTGAGCCTGGCATATCTTCGTCTCAAACCCGCCAGCACTTGGAAACAGGCGGTCAACTGGTGGGCTGGACTATCTTCTGAAGCTATTCTATGGAGGCAACAATCTCATGTGCGAGTTCATGTCCACCCATAGCTTTTAGGATACAGAATTTCTTACAATACAAAATGCATGCGATATTATGCGACCATCAGGTGCTGGCTGCGGGGAAACCTACTGAAGGCGATCTCCAATGTCCCGCAGTTTCATGAAATGAACCATACCAAACCTACATCATCCTACATCTACCTCCCACTGAAGACCTAAGAAGGAGCTTCGCGTTGCCGGTCCTCTCCCTCACGGAGGCCGCACTGGACTCGAGCATCCTTGAGCTGCGCTGCGCTGACCTCTCCGGTGAAAGCTCCTTCTCCGGTCTTGCTGCCTCGTCCGCCGCACCGACGGGTGCTCGCATCGGACCGGGTCCGGGTGTGGCGAAGATGCAATGCACATGACTGAGTAACAATGGTTGCTATTAATTTCGTTTACATTAAATAGCAAACATTGTTACTACTAGTAAGGCACCTGTTACTACTAGCGTGGCACTTGTTACTAGTAGCTTCTTGTTTCTACTCTGAGGCCATGGACAGTTCTGGGCACAGGCAGAGATGCCCAACTTCTCCATGGGCAACTTGACTTTCAGCAAATGGGGCCTCTCGATTTTGACATCAGTGACATCACTAGAATCAGCAAACAAATGGGAATCAAATTAGCTCTTCTCAAATCGCAATTGTTGTTGAATTGTGCACATCCTTTTTCAGATTCAAGAGAATGTGAAGACATGTATGTAACGACTGTTCAAGTCTCCAATCGAATTTGAGTTCCACAGCTCTCTGACTTGCGCACATCATCGGGCAAGCAAACACATCGATCTTCCTCTTGTCGAATGGAACCTGGTGAGCACCGAGCGGAGGCGTTGGTCCAGGGGCGTTGGGCTCACGGGCCCAACGATAACGTTGCCAGCGCCTGGTTCTTCCAATCCCCAATCAGCTTGAGAGCCTCCTCAAGCGTCTTGGGGTTGCACTTCCTCAGGGTCGTGTGTCGTGGGTCCACTCTGGAACCCTGAAAGAAGCACCTCTGCAAGTGTTCATGTGCCTGCCGTGCCCCTTCTGTCGTTCAACTTCAGAGACCTCGCCCAAAAGGTGCCTTTCGACTTGGCCCACCTGTTTCATACCTATTTGACCAAGTCGGATCACGTCGGCGGATCACGGATCAGATCACGGACGGCGGATCGGTCACCGGGACGGGACGACGGCGAGAACGGCCGAGGCACCAGTTTCCACCCACAATGGGCTTCCGCGGCATGGCTCGTTGGATCGGAGAGCGGTTTGTGGGATCCGCGGTTTGTGACACCGCGGCCGGGGGGTCTCTGCTCTCGAACTCGCGGGCTCACGAGCCAAGAAAGGCGGTGCAGGGATGACTTGCCTGAGAGTCCAGCGAAAAAAAAGAAATTTCTCATTTCTAGGTGCCCCCAAACATCCGATGGATGGATTTGGATGGATTTGTCCGACCAGGTGGAGTCCGGCTCGTCCGAGTCGAAGTTCGAGACTCTCGGGCTTCGCTTCGTTTCGAAGGGTCCAGGTTTGCGGAGCAGCCCCGTGGAGCAACACCGAAGGACATACAGACTGAGCGCGACGTCACGAAACCGGCACGACAGGTTTCCACAGCTCAAGAGAAACAAAAATGGATAGATCCAAAAGAGTGGATAGCGTCTTCACCTCCTCCTGCTGCTGCAATCGCACAGCAAACTCTTCCAAATCTTGTTCTCTCTCCTCCTGCGCGGTCATCGAACAAGACCGACCGGTCATCGAACCGCTCGGATCGACGGAGAAACACCGGTTGCAAGCGACAGCCGTGATGGGTTGACTGTCCTGTGCTTGACAAACTTCTGCGGCTAGCTTTTCTCGTGCAGCCAAAGCCTCAAATGTTGGCAAATCGATGGCGATAAAACGATGGAAAGTGTTGGATGATGCATTGAAATCGTTCACAAAAGAGCAAACTAACCTCACACAGCCAACATTGGCCTCTTGAGCGTTTCCAAAATGTCACCATTCTCTGGGTCGGCTAAACCACAGGCGGCCCTTCCCAGGCCTGCTCTCGCCGCACCAACTCCTTGTAACGAGAAGCCACCTGCGAGACAGTCGCAGCAACGCACAGGTCTCGTGTTTTCCAAACGGATCCCTCCGTCTGCTCGGCCTCGTCATGAAGTGGTCGAATGGCGGAGGGTTTGTCGACATCAACCTGGAAGCGGGAGTCATCCGGAAAACCGAAACAAAACTTCACCAAAAAACTGGCGAACCTGTTTGAATGCCTGAGCCTAATGATAAATCAGACCTATGCATGATCACTTGCATCACGTTCATACCATCGCCTTGGTCATGTTTCAGGAGGGCCAATCAACTCACGCCACGTCCGATCCCAAAAAAGCAGCGCAAAGTTGCAAAAGACATCACGAGTTTGCACACACATGTATTTGGTTCAAAACAAAAACCCTACAGCTTACGGTTGTTGTTGAAAGAAACATGCCATGTCGCGGCCCGGCTTCGTTGAATTTTGTTCGTCGGCACCAAAGCTTGCTTTTTTGGGTCCAAAACCCATGGTCGATGCAGAAACCTGGTTCGTTCGGAAAATCCAAACAGCATGGGAGTGGCAACAGGACAACCTGTTTCTCACCAGTGACATCAGTACGAAAATCCCAGGTGCCAATGATCCCGGGATGAAGGGTTTGAAGTTCGGATGAAAACCGGAAACGAAAATGAAGAAGTAAGAGGGAAGAAGAAAAGGACATGAAGGGCCATGCTGGGAAAGTGTCTGGGATGAAGTGCAAGGGTGGCCATCATCACTTCAATGAAACAAATGACATGCTTGGGCCCTGGTTGGTTGCAAGGGGGGTTATTGCAGGTCCAACACAACCAACAGCAAAGACTGAAAACATGTATATAGATCTATTTTGGGCCTGTCGTTTCTGGGTGTGAGGCCTGTGGCCAATGTTGGCATGTTGACAAATCACGAAAAACATCGAGAGAGTAAAGGTCAATGATTCTCATAAAATGATAGGAAACGCTCACCCCCGAGGTTGCCCCCTCTTCCTCAGCTCGGGGTACCTTGCACGCTTTGGTACCCCAACAAGGACGACCTGTGTTAGCACACTGGGACGCCCCAAAGGATGAGGAGCCATCTTCCGGATCATGGGTTCTGATCGCAATTCGTTTTTGTTGCATTGTCCCGATGCAACGGCACCACGGACCGGGTTGCAGTTTGGACAACGTCATTTCGGGCTGCTCACGCGGCGGCTAACCCAAACACCTCACTTGTCGTCGTCGTTGTCGTCATCTTCTGGTGACCTTATTCACCACGATTCCGCAGGTTTTGCTATGGTAGCATTCTCCTCTGTTTGTGACGCACCATTCATGCTGATTCATGCTTCTCAGTCGTGACAATCGTGAAGTTTGCCTTTAAAAAGATATAGGACCGGATGACCCCACATGTTACCAACTTCGCACAGGAGAAGCGTCGGGAGGAGGGAGAGGGAGGGAGTGGCGGTTGGTTGGTGGTTGTTGTTTGGAAGTGGATGGGGATGGTGATTGTCGCTTGGTGGTTGTCTGACGGGTTGTCGCGTGTCCGCGTGTGTATGTTAATAGGTGGGTGTGTGTGTGAATGGTGATGCAATGTGCAGTTGAAGGATTACGTATGTACACGTCGAGGAGCAGAAATCATCCACCGGGCAGCACCAGGGCGTACATCCAACCCCCTGGAAAACACCAAAGTACGGCCCATTCCATGCAAATCGCAGCAGCACAGACACAAACGCTACACAAATCACAGCGGCACAGCCGCGGAGACCCAGCAGCCCCGGCCAGCATCGGCCAGCACCGGGGCGTACATCCGACCCCCTGGAGAAAACAATTGCCACGCAAATCACAGTGACATCCCCCTAGTGGAGAAAACAAGTGGTGGATGGCAATTGGTTGGTAGAACATTCGTTGGGAACAATTGGTTGATGACAATCGGTTGATGACATTGGTTGGTGACAACTGGTGGGTGGCAATTGGTTGGTGAGAATTGGTTGGTGACAATCGGTGGATGACAATTGGTTGGTGAGATTTGGTTGGTGACAATTTTTTGGTGGCACTTGGTTGGTGGCAGTTGGTTGGTGACAATTTGTTGTTGATGACAATTGGTTGGTGACAATTTGTGGGTGGCAATTTGTTGGTAACAATTTGTTGGTGGCAATTGGTTGGTAGCAATTGGTGGGTAGCAATTGGTTGGTGGCAATTGGTGGGTGACAATTTGTTGATGACAATTGGTTGGTGACAATTGGTGGGTGGCAATGTGTTGGTGACAGTTTGTTGCATGATGACAATGGGTTGGTGGCAAGCGGGAGGAGGAGGAGGAGGAGGACGGAGGAGCGGATACCAGACAAAAAATAGAAACCCCACACGTCAATGTGGGGAAATATTCCAAACGCCCAATCACTTGCTTCCCTCTTCAACTCATCTACTTGATCTTCCACTCACGTCCTCCTTCAGGGGCTCAATGTCTCGATCTTTTTTCACTTGGATTTGCACTCATTCTCCTGCCTCAAAGCTTCAGCGTGCTTCTTTTTCAGCGCCTCGTATCCATTGTTTTTTTTTGCGAATGCGTAGGGAAGGTTTCTCACTTAACTCTGGGAGCCTTGTTCGCGACTCGTTGTCGTAAGCGACCGCAACCGTTTGCTACCGTCCGCGGGCGGGGCGCTATGGCACTCACATTGGGCGAAGGTTTTGGAGAGGGTTTTGGATGGACGTCAGATCCGTGTGAAATAGCTAGGAAACGTGCAGACACTCCACCAACAACAACAACAACCACCAACAACATCCACCAACAACAACCACCAACAACAACCACCAAATCCACCAGCCAACAACATCCAGCAGCCAACAACATCCACCACCACCACCACCACCACCACCTCTACCACGACCACCACCCCCGCCAAGAACAACAACAACAACAACCAACCACAACCACAACCACCACCGACAACAACATCCACCAACAACAACCACCAACCACCAACCACTCTCCGAGGGGTCGGATGTACTCAGGCGCAGCGCTTGGTGCTCTTGAGAGGGTCGGACGTACGCCCTGGGGCTCCGCCGCGCAAAAGGCTTGGCGTTCTCTGGGTCACCGCCGCGTGTGATTTGCGTGGCAGGCGCAGAACTTGGCGCTCTCCAAGGGGTCGGACACACGGGCCTGGGGCTCCTGTGGGTCGAGTCGCCGCCACTGCGCCGCTGGGAACTGCGTGGGTCGGACGCACGCCCTGGCGCTCCTGGCTCGCCGCCTCTTGCGTGGCGTGGCAGGCGCAGCACACGGTGCTCTTCAGAGGGTCGGATGTACGCCCAGGGCTCCTGGGTCGCCGCCGCTGCGCCGCTGTGATTTGCGCTTGCAGCACTTGGCGCTCTCCAAGGGCTCGGACGCACGCCCTGGGGCTCCAGCTGGGTCGCCGCCGCTGTGCCGCTGTGAACGGCTGCAAAGAGCTCGGCTGAGCGCGCATCACTTCTCAACCCTTAGTTTGCGACTTTCCTGCCTTGGAAACTGGTCGCGCCTGAAGTGCTTCGTCTTTCGTTTCTGTCTCATTTTTGCTCAAAAGCGGTGTCACTGTACTTTCTGTGCTTCGTGCTTCTGTGGACTGGGTCTCTCTGATCTCTCCACCTGCACCAGACGACCGAAGCTGCGCGAACTGCAGTGCCCAAGCCAGGAGCCATCACTAGCAGTCCCAACGCAACCGCTGCCCCAAGCGCCAACTTCTTCATCCGAGACAGCGCATGACCTTCAGGAGGGACGTCGGTGTTCACCGGAGCCAAACCAACAGCAGCAGCAAATGCATCCCAAGCCCGAGGCGTGGTCACCGCCTTGGTCAGCAGGTCAGCACACAAGTCTAGAACATGGCTGCGGAGCCGAAGGTGTCTTGTACGCCAAGGCCCAGTGGGAGCATGCAGCAGCTGCAAACCTGAGAGGAGTTCCCTGCCGCCCAGTTCCCTGCCCCCCAGTTCCCAGTCCCCTGTCCCAAGTTCCCTGTCCCCATTTTGCTGCCCCCACGACTTGAGGCTCTACATACAGTAGTTGGAGATCAGCCTCGTCTGAGATCGACTGTAGGCCTTGATCAGCGACTTGAGGTTCTACATATTATAGTTGGAGATCAGCCTCGTCTGAGATCCACCTGCAGGCCTTGATCAGCGACTTGAGGGCCTGCATAGTTGGAGAATAAAATCAGGCCACCCTGCTCCATGTTGGTGTCCCAGCTCAAGCTTCAGAAAAAGAACGAAACTGCTGATCTCAGACAGAGCTAGCTGATCTCAGACGAAGCATTAGCCTGCTCAATGTTAATGTCCCAGCTCAACCTTCCGAAAAAAAAAACGAAACTGCTGATCTCAGACAGAGCTGATCTCAGACGAAGCATTAAGAAAAAAAGCAGCCGCCCTGCTCAATGTTGGTGGTATCAAAGTCAAATCAGGAAGCATGAAATGAAAACGCCGCCCTCAAAGATGCAGCATTAAATCATTAGTGGTTAAGTGAAAACGCCGCCCTCAATGATGAATTAACAAAAGCTTGGGTTACAGAACGCTGCCAGAACATCGTCTCCTGCAAAGCAGCTGACTTGGGGCCATCATTCAAGGCGGCGTTTTCACTTACTGTAACCCCTAATGATTTAATGTTGTATCTTTGAGGGCGGCGTTTTCACTTCATGCTTCCTGAATTTATTCTCCAACTATGTAAGCCCTCAAGTCGCTGATCAAGGCCTACAGGTGGATCTCAGACGAGGCTGATCTCTGACTATGTAGAACCTCAAGTCGCTGATCAAGGCCTACAAGGGAATTAGGGAAAAGGAACGGCTTGGGGACAGGGACGCGCGGAGAGGGAACTCAGGACAGAAAACTTGGGACAGGGAACTGGGGGCAGGGAACTGGGACAGGGAACTGTGGCAGGGAACTGGGGGCAGCAAACTGGGGACAGGGAACTTGTTGGGACAGGGAACTGGGGGCAGCAAACTGGCAACAGGGAACTTGGGACAGGGAACTGGGGACAGGGAACTGGGGGCGGGGAACTGGGGCAGGGAACTGGGGGGCAGGGAACTGGGGGGGAGAGGGAACTTGGGACAGGGAAGTGGGGACAGGGAACTGGGGGCAGGGAACTGGGACAGGGAACTGGCAGGGAACTGGGGGCAGCAAACTGGGGACAGGGAAGTTGCGACAGGGAAGTGGGGAGGGGGCAGGGAACTGGGCACTACTTTGCGTTGGAAATGGGCGTGAAAACTGAGGGCCAATTCTGTTCCCCCAGGAGAACTTGGGACAGGAAACTGGGGACAGGGAACTGGGGGCAGAGAACTGGGACAGGGAACTGCAGAGGGAACTGGGACAGG